GCTGCGAGGAGGAGGCGGCGGCGGCGGCGGCCGCGCAGGAGGATGTACTTGGTGGCGGGGGGCAGGGGGCTGGCCGGCTGCGGGCACCTCCTGGTCTCGCTGCTGGGGCTGCTGCTGCTGCTGGCGCGCTCCGGCACCCGGGCGCTGGTCTGCCTGCCTTGCGACGAGTCCAAGTGCGAGGAGCCTCGGAGCTGTCCGGGGAGCATCGTGCAGGGCGTCTGCGGCTGCTGCTACATGTGCGCCCGCCAGAGGAACGAGAGCTGCGGCGGCGCCTACGGGCTCCACGGAGCCTGTGACCGGGGGCTGCGCTGTGTCATCCGCCCCCCGCTCAATGGCGACTCCATCACCGAGTACGAAGTGGGCGTCTGCGAAGGTACGGCCGCCCGCTGCGGGCCACCTCACAGCCCTCCTCACCCCCCTCCCCGTCCTCCTCCCCGCGCCCTCACCCCACGCCATCCCTCCTACCTGGCGCCCGCGCCGCCCCCTCGGCGCTGGTTGCGCCCAACAAAGTTTGGCTGAGACTTCTCCCCCACCCACCCGAGGAGAGCTGGGCTCGGCGGGGAGGACGCTGGGGCGGATGGGCGCCGCCCTCCCCCACCCCAGATGGTGCCCGTCCGCCGGGTACCCCTCCACTTAGTACCCCTTGTGGGATGGTACTCCCCCAGTACCCCTCCTGGATGTTGCCCGCTCCCCCCCCCCGCTTAGGGGTCCCCCTGCATCCTGGCTCCCGGTCCTCCCCGACGCCCAGCTGTGTCGGACGAGGTTGGTTGCCATGGGTGGGCGGGTGAGCGGTTGGGTCCCTGGACCCGCACTCGTGTGAAGGTTCCGGCTTCCGCTGGGGTGGCCCGCCCTCGCCCCCCGAAGTAGGGGTGCCGTGGATGGAGGGCACTGCAGAGGCGCGGGTCCCTCCCCGCTCTCCCCTCCGCTCCCCTCCCCTCCCCGCATAGCGCAGTGTGGCACCGGGCGCCGGCCGTGCCCCGGGCCGCCCAGCCAGCGCTTTGGAGACGCGTCTCCAGCCCGCACTCCCCGTGTGTGCCCCCGATGATCCCCCCACACCCCCCAGCCTGCGCTCTTCCTTCACCTCCTCCCTCCTCCGTCGCACGTAAATCAGTCTCAGCTTCGGAATCTGTCAGGCCGGGGCGAAGTTACGTCGGGTGGTTACTCATTTATTTGCCTATTGAAAGCGGTCAAAGGCTTTTCTGGGCTGAAAGGGAAGGGGGTGGGGCTGGGGGTTGCACCTGGGAGTGCGAAGTTGTGGCTGACTCTGGGAGCGACGGCCGCCGCGTGTGAAGAGCCGCTCCCCGCATGTCTCCAGGCGTGTGGCCCGCGCCGCCTTTTGCGTGTGTTTGGCAGCGGGGTTGGGGGCGGTTCTGCCGGCTTCTTCCCCGCAACGACGATCTTGCGGGGAGGAGATCCCCGACTGGGGAAGCCCTGAGGATGCACCTGAGCCTTCCTCCCTTCCTGCCTGCCTCCACCCCGCCCTCCCCATCCTGCCCAGGGGTGATGGTGCTAGGTGTGGCTTGGGGTCCCGCGAGAGGCAAGGAATTGTTTTTATTTGACTATTAGGCAGGACTCATTGAGCGCCCCTTACAAGTGCCCCCCCCGGGCTGATATGGGGCCCAGGATTGGGTTCTCAGAGGGCCTGCTAGGGAGTGGTGAGGAGGGACAGGTGCCCTTTGCACCTCTCTACCCACAGTCAGCACCTAGGAGACTGGGAGGGGTTTATTCTGAAGCATCCTTTCTGTGTGTGTGTGTGTGTGTGAGTGAGTGTGTGTGTGTGTGTGTGTGTGTGTGTGTGTGTGTAGGGATACGGAAAAGAAGGGAGCAACCCTGAGGATAAAAATGATTCTATTTAAAGGCTCCAGTGGTGTGATACTCTTTAAATACACTCGTATTTATTTTTACCTTGCAGTTAGGGTTTGGACTGTGTTGGAAGGCTGAGGAGACCTTCCTGGCTTGGCGGCTAGTGGGCAGTAATGAGTGGAGGAAACTGTTCTGGGAAGGGAGGGAGGGCCCTTCAAGGCTGCGCCCCTACATCCCGTGGACCTGGGTTAGGAGACCCTGCTTTGCCTCACACATCCCAAGCAGCCTCTCACCCGGTATGAAGTCTCATTCTTTGACAACGGGCTTGTTTCTCCGATCAGGACAAATGGCCATCACACCGACTCTGACACAGTTTTATGTGTTTGACTTTGGGAGTTGTGAATGACTTAGACTAAAGCGTCTTTGAACTTTACCACTTCGGAGCATAACTTGATCCAACCTCCCATAAATCTGCAAAGAACAACCAGCAGGAGACGAGGTTAAATGCAGTGGAATCTGCTGTGCTCTGAGAAGGTCTCTTGGAGGCTCTAGAGAGTCTAAGCCTTGTTTGTTTCCTCTTTGTGTGTTTCTGGTGAAGGAACCGCTCAGGGAACATTTACAGTAATCAAGTGTTTTGGCAGCAACATTGCATGTCACAGTATGGAGTTATTTTGGCAGTTTGTTGGTGAGCCTTTCATTCCTCTGGAATGCTGGGATCCCTCATGGCTTCCTTTCTTCTGGTAACACCCGTGCACTTGGTGTCAGCTTTGAAAATGTTTGGAAAGTATTTCTTGACATGATCATACTTCAATTAATGTTCTCTAGAGATGCTTTTTCATTTTGCAGGCCTGTTTTCAGAAACCAAAAGAGCGTTCTCAAGGCACTTAAATAATTTTTTTTTCTAAGAATTCTAAAAGCAGCAGTCAGGTTGCATTCTAAATCCATGAACAAGGACAGTGCTTTCTGGCATGGTATTTAATGGTTGGATTTAGACAGATATTTTCAACTGTGTGTCTAAAATTACAAATAATTTCATATTATTACACGATTTATGGAAAATATATGATTAGTAGGTAACCCATTTTCTTTTCTAAGATTTAAAGGAGTCTTTAGATATCACTAATTATCTAGAAGGTGCTGACTTTCCCCCCCTTTTTTTCCTTGCTACTCTGCAAGAAAGTTCTTAATGGCCAACATTTCTGGGTTCCCATTTTTATTCAGAAACTTATTTGTGATTATCAGAACTAACAGGAGTAGGAATTGGCATATTCATGTAAAACTCTTGTGCTGCAATTTTTGCACTAAAATGACCCCTACTGGTTATGTCTGTTAATGAAAAGTCTTGAAACTTTATGGAATTGGCTACCCTGAGAACACATTGCATGCTATAGAAATATTATCATGACTCATCTACCTGTTTTCAATGATGAGATTTAAACACAAATTATGTTGTTCTGTTTGCCAACTTGAAGCGATTTTTTTACTCCCACACTAGCTTTGTGTGTGGATCAAGTCATGTTTTCACTAGCAGCTCACAAAATGAGTTAGATAAATCAAGGTTCAAAACAGACTCCTTTCACCACTGGCCCACTGTTTTAGGTTGCTAAGATATAGAGACCCATGTTGGGCCCTGAGTGGATTGTCAATCCTGTCCAGAGAAAGAAAAATGGCTGAAAGCTAAAGTGAGGAGTTGTATCCTGTGAATCATGTGAGATGTATGCTTCAGTTTCTTCACAGCATAATTTAGATTGCTATTAAGTAATTTTGACTATGTTTGAAAACTCTGGAATGGAGCCAGGTACCTAAAGTTCTCTCTGTTCTCTCAGTCTTAAAAGGGGGCTTTTTGCACCTGGGAGGGTACAGTTCCCTCCTGTCTCCATTCATCTTGCAAGTTTTCCTGTTTCCCTCCGCAGAACCCTAACTTGCTTGACCCAGGCAGTCTACCTCCAGAGGAGGCAGAAAAGAATCACCTAGAGGCCAAAGAAACAAGTTTGGCTTCTAACCCCAGGGGAAGAAGTCTGGATGGGAGATCTCTTTGGGGGATTAGAGGTTTAGAAAACTAATGAAGTGGAGATTGTCTAGAAAGAATGTTTTGATAGGAGAGGGAGAACTGTATTTTGAACTAAAGGAATGAAGTCCAGTTTTTGAGGATTAGTATTTTATGCTTCCAAAAAGGGTGGGGACAAGGTGAATAACTTTGACAGCCTTTTGTCTCTGGTTAGGAGAAGGGCAAGATAATGGCTTGAATTTGACAGTGTGTAAGGACCGAGTGATTAGGAGTCAGTGGACCCTCTTGTGTCCACTCTGAGAACCTTGTTATATTATACCTACTGTTGGTAGGTTAGTACCAACTCCTGGCTCCTGACTCCCCCCAAGTGAATTTTTACTGTGTGGCTTCAGTCTTCATGGAACTTAATTTTCCATGTTGTTGTTGTTTTTTGTTTATTTGTTTAAACCACTGCCATTTAAAAGCTTTTCTTTTAGAAAACAGTCTTTCTCTTTCCCCTCGGCTATTTTAGATTTTTCTTCTCGTTTTTTCACAGGGCAACGAAGAGAACTCAGTATGTGTAGTAGCCGCTACTATGTGTAGCAAGGAATAATATTTTTAAACTGTGGCCATGAGCTTAGAGTTTCTTTGCTTATCCCCAGAGGACAAGGTGGTGGCTGCTAGGAAGACACACAATGTGTAGATCTAAGCTGAGGCCCCTTGAGACTGGCTCCAGAAGGCCACCCAGTGTGGGACCCTGCACATTAGTAGCTTGTGCACAGGCCACATCTGCAACCGACTGTCCGTGTTCTCTTGAAATTAACATTTCATGAATTTTAGTTTTTGTACAGTAAAGGAGAGGAAGAGCAAAGTTACTACTTATAGTGGAGTTTGAAAAGTTTAACAGCCCATGTCTGTAGACTTTTTGTTTTTTTGACTAATGGGTTTTTCTTCTCCATCTCAAAAGTCTTTAGGTAGAGTGAATTCTACCAGAGAGAAGGCAAGCACAGGGTATATAAAATTATGGGTATGGGAAGAGAAACTAATCCAAGTAAACAAGGAAGTAATTAGTTTCTCCCCAATGTAAATATTGACAAAACATGGGGAGACTAGCTATTCACTGCACATGTATCAATGACAGGACTCTGTGACCTTCGCCTGACTGTCAGGCTTATAGAATCTCATTGTTATTAAGGAGTCCTGTCACATAAAACACTTAGCAAAGGACAATGAATTGCACACTTTGTAGCAGAAAGGCAAAATAGCAAGCCTGGAGTGATTTGCTGCCATTACATGGTTATTGGTGAGCAGAAAACCAGAATATGTTGTTAGTACAATTTAAGCTGTAAGGTTAATTTTATAGGAAAAGTGAAAAAAATCCTAAAACTGAGCATTTTATCCATTTGTGGGAGGTGGTTTTAGTGAATTAGTGCAGGTTTCTGTGTTTTTCATAGCTTGAATAAGGTCCAGTAGTCTGAATGAACAGCTTGAGACATAGGAGAGAAGGTAAGGGAATGAAAGAAAAGCTGGGCATGCTAGTACATCTGTAAACCCAGCCTTGGGTGGGGGGGGGGGAGATTGAG